TTCCAGATGTCTGTCTTATTTAACCTTTCTTTCTCATTTATTAACAAAACACGTTACAAGCAGGATGCTGTTTGTGTTAGGTTGCCTCTTGCATCTCGGGGAAGCAAATGAACTTGATTAAGCAATGTCAGGTGAACTACTTCATCATTTTTGAGTTTGATGGTGCTGGTAACTTGTTACCAGGAAAAACAGGCTGCGCTTTCAGTGAGTGTGAGTCTTCCAGGAGCTCAGGGAGGAGACAGCCATCAAACTGAGGATGGTCTTGTGTTCCCGAGGGAGGATTTTGGCACATGCATGGTGCTGAGGAGCCACCTGCTCTGCAAGGGCTGCTTCTCAGCTGAAGTCTCAGACCAGGAGGAAAATTGTCTCAGCATCACATGCTTCTTTGGGCACCGTCGGTCACAAACATCTTCTCTTGTGCCAACCATCTGGGTTAAAGGCAAAGAGTAAGAAGATTGCATAGCAAAACTTCCAGACTCCTCATGGCTTCTCTACTTTTTGATTCCAGTTGTGAGTCCAGTTTCCTAAATCCATCCTCTTCTGCCTGGAAGTTTTGCCTGAGTGCGAAGAGAAGGTGGTCGGTTGCCAGGGCTTTCCAGGCACCTGGCGGGCCAGGGAGGCAGCGACAGCGGCTCTGAAGATGATGCCCAACGGGGGCGATCGCTGGCAGAAGCACCCGCTGCCTTGGGCGCTGCAGTCCCGCCGTGTGACACGCGTGCCATGTTTCTGTTTGGGACTGCCTGCGTCTGTCATGAGGGCACCGTGTGCTGGGAGCCGGGGATGCTCAGGGCTGGTGGCCCCTACGTATGCCTACCTCCTTTCCCCAGCGCTCGCCAGGAGCTGGCCATGGGGCAGCGGGTCCCTTTTGCTGGAGGGAAAGCAAAGTGGCGTTGGACTTGCTTCTGCAGCCCTCTGCGTGTCACCTGGTGCGGGGAGAGGTCCCGGCAGCTCAGGGCACTGCCCGGATGGGTGGGCTGTGCAGCCCTCCCCCATGCCACTCGCAGGCCTGTGGAGTGTGGGGTCACCAGCACCAGAGTCGTTTGTGTGGCCTTGGGAGGAGAGGTTGATACCTGCTGGCTCTCCCCACACCCTCCTGTTCCGTTACAGGCTGTGTGCATTTCAGAGTAATGAAAAGTATAATTATGCAGCCCATATTCCTTGATGGAGCATCTTGTCTGCACATAGATAGCTACGCATATAAATATTGTGAATTTCTGCATGGCTTTATTTCCCTTGCAAGCAATAGCACCATTACAGCAAATCTTCTGGATTTCCAAAGCAGCGAGAACATTTTCCCTGGAGCTAGATGCCTTGCAAAAAATATTCCCAAAGAATTCCAAGAGTTATTATTCTCTGTCGCCACATTTGCAGATGTATGCACCCATCCTCCAAGCTGCGAGGCAAGCGGAATGAAAGGACTCCACCCTTTCAGGAAAGCTGATGAAAATAGGCGCAAATCCTGTACTGCACACTCAGGCTGCACCTGAAGTCAGCATCTCATCGCACCGGGACTGCACAGCTGTGCCCTGAGGAGCATATGAAGAAGTGGTGTATGAAGAGGCAGTGAAGCCCAGCGGGTGAAGGCAGGTTTAAGCTGAGGGCGCCGTTCGCTCACGGCTGTTTCGGTGGACGTAGGGCGGAGAGGAGCAGAGCCCCGGCAGTGCCGGGTCTGGCTTTCGCTGCAGGGCTGCAGGGGGTTTGTCCTCACTGGTCCTGCCTGTCCTGAGTAGGGGAACGTCACTGAGCGGGCATCTCGGCAGGCGAGGCAGCCTCTGTACGGTGCAGAGCAGTGCAGGCAGCAGCGAAAGCATCGGGACTGTTCACGGCTCCGGCGGCAGCAGCAGGTGCTGCTGGGCCACGTGGCTGTCAGCAGCGCGGTCAGCCGTCGGGCTGCCATGGGCCTCCCGCACTCGCGGGGCGCTGGCAGAGCGCACCCTATCTTTGTTTTAGCTTGGTGTTGAGCGAAAAATACCGAGAGAGTCTAATTAGTAAAGTGAGCATCTAATATTAATCATTCCTTTTAAACTGACAAGGAAGGCAGTTCATTTAACCACTTAATTGCTACAAGTTTTCATGGGCTGCTCTTTGCAAATATATTTAATGAAGAAGTTGTAAATCTAAGAGAGCTTAAAATTTTAATTTTATACAGAAATATTTTTCCTTGTTCTCATGTTTGTAGTCAATTCTCCAGAGTGCAGTCACATGAAATGTTCTTTAAATGAACATATTTGCTAACTGGCATGATTTCAGTTTTTAAAACATTGGTTCCAGCAATTAGGCATTTTTTTCAGTTCCCAAATGACTAGAGAAATTCGTCTTGATTATAATTGCTCTTAGCCACGCATATCTAATTTGTGTCTTTTTAAGTGTTAATTAGTAAACAGTTTGAGCTGACATCTTTATGTGTTTGTGTGTTGAAAAATGAGGCTTATTGCTTATTTAGCTTGGGGCTGGTACTGCTGGCTGTGACATCATGACATTGAGGTAAAATTAATGAAGACGTGTTTGCCAATTAAAAGGCAGTCTTGAGAAAGATGACTCCTTGACACGTCCCCTCGCACGGTTCACCCGAGACGCGAACTCTGCGCTGCAGGGGGCTTTTGAGCGTCGTTTGGACCGGCGGGAAGTTCTGCGAGCGTTTCCCGGGGCCCGGCCCGGTTCCC